TTGGGCGGCGGGCAGAGCTGGCGGCTGGCTGGCGGGTGGCGTCGGATGGTGGTGGTGGTAGGAGGGAAGGAGAGACGGGTGTGCGGCGGATGGATTTTGCAAAGGGCCGGGTGGCAAAGGGCCGGGTGGCAAAGGGCCGGGTGGCAAAGGGGCCAGCGCGCGTGCACATGCCTGGCCTCCTGTGCTGACGTAAGCAGGAAGGGCCTTTTTCTCGGCCGTACGAGGCCTGCGGCAAAAAATAGCGCAAAAGGCCTCCGATTCCCGGCCGTAGGGGTCATGCAGCCAAAAATAGTCCGGCCGTAGGGGTCCTTTGGACTTTTCCGGCCGCAGGAGTCCTCCGAATTCCAGCCGAAGGACCCTGGCGGCCCAAAAGGCCGAAGGACACTCCCGAATCCCGAGTTTAGGGCCAAAGGACCCCTATGGCCCAAATTGTAGGTGCCTTTGATGCTAGCTATGAGGCAAAGCAGAAGCCGAGCAGAAAAGCAGCTCAATCATCGGAATCTTCGGAGGCCGGCCTCCGAAGATTCCGATGATTGACGGCCATTGACTGTGCGGAAGCGTCGGGCGGCAGGCAGGCAGGTAGGCAGGTAGGCAGGCAGGCAGGCAGGCTACAATTTTGGATCGTAGCTAGATCGTAGGTAGGCTGCACACCCGAAAAAATCGTACACAGGCATCGATGCCTGATTTGAGATCGTAGGCAGGCTGCGTATCGGAAAAATTGTAGACAGGGGTCGATGCCCAATTTCAGATCATAGCCTGCCTATGATCAAAATTGGGCCCTACCCTGCTGCTAGCTATGCCTGACGCAACTGATTGCTGCCTGGCTACGATGCAAAAAATCGTAGATAGACAGGTCTAGCTACAATCTGAAAATTGTAGCCTGTGTACGACCCAAAAATCCACACGGCCTGTCCAGATCCATAAATTGTTTGTGTAGAAGGATACCCTGCGATCTGAAAATTGTATGCTGGCTACACCTAGCTACGATCTGCCAGATTGTAGGTTGACTCTGCTGCTAGCTATGACTGGCTGGCTTGGGTGGCTGGCTGGCTGGCAGCTTGCTGGGCTGGGCAAGGGCTGCGCTGGACTGGCGGCTGGCTGGCAGGTGGGGCTGGCAGATGATGGTGGCAGGAGGGCAGGAGATGGGTGGACGGGCAGGTGGATGAAATTGGCAAAGGGCCGGAAGGCCAGCGCACGCATCAGCAGGCCCCTGAGCTGATGTAAGCAAAAAAGTGGCCGTCTTTGGCAGCAGAGGGCCGTAGGGGGCCCTACGGCCGGAAATCGGCAGGCATCCCCCTATGGCAGGAAACTGGCGCAGGATGCCTGCCAATTTCCGGCCTGACCCTCAAGCCTGCCAGCCAGCTCGCCCACCCGCCTGCCCAAGCCAGCCAGCCAGCGAGCTTGACTGCTTGCTGCAGGGCAGAAGCAGAGGAGCAAGCTGTCAATCATCGGAATGATTGGAGAGCAGCTTTCCAATGATACCGATGATTGACAGAGGCAGCAAAGCAGGCGGTATACCCGGCCAAAAAAGTTTGCATTTCAGATTGTAGCTAAGCTGTGCGTCAAAAAATTGTGCACAGGGCTTGTACGCAACTTCAGATTGTAGCTAGCCTGCGCATGGGGAAAATTGTATGCAAGGATCAATTCCTGATTTCAGATTGTAGCCTGCCTACAACCTAAATCTGGCCCAACCCTGCTGCTAGCTATGATCGGGAAAATCAAAAACAGGAATGAATCCCTAATTTGAGATCGTAGCTTGGCCGTGCATTGAGAAAGTTGTATATAGGGCTCGATCCCGATTTTAGATTGTAGCCTGCATGTGACCTAATTTGGGCCTGACCCTGCTGCACAACATGATTGTCAAAATTGGAGCTTGGGTTGTCTAGTGGAATCTAGCACAGCAAGAGCAATGATGGAACCGCCAAGTTAGCAAAAGTCGAAGTGCGACGGTGCGGCCATTCGGGCGAGAGTAAGCCAGAGCCCGGGACCCGGGAGAGCCAGACCGGGACGCGTGACAAATGTTGAGTGCGGGGCACTCACGCGCGAAGACGCGGGGAAGAGCGGCCCCGGCTTCCGAGGATTGCCGGTAGCCGACAAGTCAACTAGGTCGCGAGCTGCCTACGGGGATGCAAGTCTGTTCCGCACCACCACACCACATTTCTCGGCCTCCGCCTCTATCCCGCACCACCCACTTCCCCTATTAGCACGCGCAGCAAGATGTCGGTCGTGAAGCGCAACCTGGTCCAGCTCTACTACGACACTGTCTCGCCGTGGTCTTTTATCGGGTACGAGATCATCAAGCGGTACCAAAAGAGATGGGACTGCGATCTGGTGAGTCGAGGATCTCCCGCTCGAGAGCCGGCTCAACTGTCGCTGATGGCTCAAATGCTCTGCATCTCTCGCTGACCGGACGTCGACAGGAGCTTGTCCCTGTCAATCTGGGCTATGTCATGGGCGTGGGTAACCCCGGATGAGCTCTCATATCGACTGCAGCGCGGCGAGCAACGCGACGAGCTAAGGTCCCTCTCGTTTCCCTTCTGTGCCACAGTACAGCGGTAACCGTCCTCCAATCAGCGTGCCAAACAAGGGCAAATACATGTGGGACGAGATCGAGCGGGCGCAGAAGTTCTTTGGCCGTGAGTCGTCGCCTTTCCCCAGCGCCGAGCCGTGGCTGGCCCACTGGCCTAACCTCGCCACCGAGGCCCCCCCCC